TTTAAATTGTTTATATCTAAAATAAATAGTAAATAGAGTAAAATTAAGCTCTAGCAAATCTACTCTCTAATCAACTCCACCACATACCCCTTCTGTCTACTAGTTGAATTTACAGGGCATTAGAAAGAGCGTGCAAAATAAAATAAATAAAGTATTCAAAGTATTCAAGTTGGCGAAGCGCCCAAAGTGTTGCACACTTGACTGCGCACCGGACGGGGGGGCTGAAGGGGGCGCGTATGGGAACGGAACCAAAGCAGTCGGTGGGCGTGGCCGATGGCAATGCGGCTGTATGTCGGCTCACACGTCTGCCCAGCATGCTGCGGATGATGAGGCGGGAGGCGGGAGGCGCCAGGCACAGATAAAAATTCATTTCACAAATGAGCTCTGCGTTGGCCACAACCAAATTCAAGATCCACCTTGGCTGGGTGTGGGTCAGCTCCTGCCTCTCTGGCTGTCTGTGTGTCTGTGTGTGGGTGTGTGTCTGTGTGTCTGTGTGTGTGGGTGTATTATCACTGCGTCTGCATGTGCGCTCGCATTTATTCATATTTTACGCAGCATAACTTGGCGTTTCTGCGAATTAGCATACCCGACATATTAATATATTTATGTATGCATCAATATTAATATGCGCGCACAGCGACTAGGCCAATTTACTGCCTGAGGAGCTGAACAGATATGCCAAATTATTAAGCTTGGGAGGGTTGCGTGTTCATCTGGTTCTCCCTCACAAAATATGTATATTTATATCTTTGACTCTCTCATTGTTTTTTCCTCAACTGTTTTTCTATAGCCCTTTGCCTAAGGATTTCTCTCTCCTTCTCTACTTATTTTGCTCCTTATTTTTACTTCTACTACTAATACTCCTCTTTTCACTCCCACTTCTACTCCTACTCCTCCTTCTTTTATTTCTTATTACTTATATTATTATATCTACTCCTTTTTCTACTCCCACTTCCATTTCTACTACCGTCTACTGTAATATCTACTCTGTAATATTTACTCCCTTTTCTACTCCCACTTCTACTCCTCCTTCTCACTTCTACTACTGTCACACCTACTCCTACTCCTCTTTCTCCTACTTCATCTACTTCTACTCCAAAAGTTTCTACAACTTTCTAGTCCTCCCGCTAATTCTCCTACATCTTATAACTTCTATTCCAACATCTACTGCTTCTCCCACATCTTATTAATTTTATTCCTTTTTCTACTCCCATTTCTACTCCTACTTCTCCTTCTCCTACATTCTACATTCTTGCTTCTACATCCTTTTCTACTCCAAAGATTTCTACTACTGTCTACTCTTCCCTATCCTTCTCTGACATCTTCTTCTACTCCTACATCTACTCCTTTTTGAGCTCCCACTTCGTATCCTACTCCTACTTCTTATTTCTACTCCTACTCGCAACTCTTACTTCCACTTCCCCCAATACTTTCTCTCTATCTTTTATCAAGTCCCTCTACATATGTATTTGCATTTAGTCAGCGTAAAACTAAAATACAATATTTGCACTCGATTCTCATTTGGCGAACTCGCCCCTGCAGACCCTATCGATGACTCGATGCCGCACTGGTGCAGGACTGGGGCAGTTGGTGCGCCGTTCGGGGCCGTTATTTATTCAAATTTGATAGCTGCGAGTTGTGGCACAATTTTCAGTTAAGCGCCCGCCTCATTGTTGCATCCATTTCAGTCGGGCAATGCACAATAATGACCTAAGCTAACTTCCTATAACGGGGAGCTCCACAATTGTGTTGGTCCTGCCCCTCGCCCCTCGCCCCTCGCCCCTGCCCCGTCTCTACGCACTCTCCGGTCCAGCTACTACCATTTGGCACTGGGAAGAGGCACAGAGGGTTTGGTAAATTCTGGGCGGAAATTTCGTTGTGGTTCGTTCGCGTTCTMTCGGGCGTGCTGGCTGTGGCTGTGGCTGTGTGCGGTGGGGGCATGGACGGAGGCGTGGTTGGGGGCGTGGATGTGAGCATCTCGCACTCGTGGCTCCTCAACAAATATTTATATTGCGCACTCGAATATTCAGTGAGCAAATCGACGCTTGGTCAGCAATTGCATTTAAATAGTTTTTCATTTGACTGGGCAATTCGTGCTGCTTGCTCTTCTACCCGGGCCCGGATCCGGGTCCATTTGGAGCGTGTTCATTACGTGTGCTCATTTTTTTCCTTCTTGTATTTTGCACTTTTGGTATCAGATATCAGTTTCGCCCCATGAATGGCTAATTTGCAGATCATTTTCAATTAGTGCTTGGCTCTTAAATGTTCTTTTTCCCCCATTAGTCTCTTGCATAGTTCAAGGACTTCTATAGAGATTGAGTGTGATTCTCTAGCTACTAAAATAAATGTTGTATAACTAACAGAAACATAAGTGGAACCAATGCTGATATATCTAGTTTCCTTAACATTGGCCATAAATTGCTCGCTCACAGTCAATTTTCACACATTTGGGTGAGTAAATAATTCTCGAGTTCGATGAAAATCGCATAGAAGACTTAATGAACTAGACCGAAAGAGTTAAAGAGCGGGCAAAAAGTTTTCGCTTAATAGAGTGGTATTTATTTCAGGGCATTTATACAGCACACGGGTAGTCTGAACTTGAAGCGAAAGTTGAGCAGAAAATTTTGATGCAGATGGGAATTTCAGAGATAGGCGAACAACATGTCGATTGGCTTAGTAGACATTTGGGTTATCTCTAATCGTATCGACTAAAGATAGACCTTTGGCTGAAGCTATTAATCTTACAAAGATCTTATATTGACCCTTTCTCTTTTCTTTCCTCTCTCTCTCTCTCTCTCTCTATCTCTCTCTGTGTTCTCGCTATATTTCTCACATTTTCTTCATATCGGCTTAGCTTCTCTCTCTTCCCCAGAATAGTTGTCTTTCACTTTAACTTTCTCTCACTGTACCTCATATCCTCTCTTTCTCTATCTCTGTCTACCGTATAACTTTAACTCTCTCTTTTTAACTCCCTCTCTCTCCCTTTCTCAATCTCTTTCTCTCACACTCCTTGTCTTTTTCTATATATATATCTTTCTTCGTCGCTCTCTCTAATGGTTTCTTACTCTTTCTTTTTTCTCTATCTAAGGGCCCTTTCAAGAGAAGCAAAGAAAAGATTCTTTCCTCTCTCTCTCTCTCTCTCTCTGTCTCTCTCTCTCCCTCCCTCTTTCCTACACTCTGTGTATATCATATATTTCTTTTCCTTCAGCTTAACACACTCTCTCTTTCTCTGCCTCTCTTTCCATCTCTCTACCCCATCTAAAAGCTGGGTATCTCTAAGCCGAGCAATTCTAAGCAATGTATTTTGCAAAAGTTTTGATTTTTTTCACTTTCACAGCATTTTGCAGCACTTTGTTTATTCCCTTGTCCAATTAAATGCGTTTTGCTGCCCGCAAAAATAACAACAAACTTTTTTGATTAAAATTAAAAAAAGTTTTTGTGCTTTTTTTTGTTTTTGTTAATGTTTTTATTTTGTTGTTTCTGCGGGAAGTGGACAATCCGGGCGTAAGTTCCGGCGGGGCAACAAGTGGCGCTGAGCTGTTGTGTGACGCTGGCAGGCGATCAATTTGTGTGCTTAGTGAAGGCGTGGCAAGAGAGGGGGGTGGCAGGGGTATGSGATGGAAATGGAAATGGAAATGGAGTGTGATGTGGGTACACAAGTGCATAAGGCGCGACGTACAAAATAAATTACAATAACAATGAAACGAAGTGGCTGGCGAACGGGCAAAAGTCCTGCCTCATTTCCTCGCCTCGCGTCGCGTCGAGTCACGCCTCCTCCCCTCGCTTGGCGGCGCCTGATGCCTGCGGGCGGTGCGTCTGTTTCAATTGCAACAACGCCTCGAGTTGTTTACTGGCAAAACTTTAACCAGAAAAATTACAACATCGCCGCAAATTATCTGCGCCAGTGTCGCAGCTTAAGCAGCAGCAGCAGCAGCGGCAGCAGCAGCAGCAGCAGCAGCAGCGGCAGCAGCAGCAACAAATTGGCATAATTTCAATGTGAAACTTATTCAAAGTCAATTGTTGGCACGCGGCGTGGCAGCAGCAGCAGCAGCCAAAAGCGAGCGAAGGCGCTCTGCCACGCCCCAACACAAAAACGCTTCGATTGCGCACTCACATTCAGCGACAACAACAACAACAACAGATACAAATGAGCATTTGAAACATTTTCATGGAAAACTTTTTCTTTATCCACGTTCGCTTGCTAGCATTTTATTTCACTTTTCTTTTTCTGTTTTTTTTTTCTGCTTTTCTTGCTCGATTTTTTTTTCTCGGTAGCGCGGAAGTCGTAATGAATAATTTTGTTTTCAACTGTTCGGATAGCCCCGACAGCGGCACCAAATCTGAATCCATAACATATATAAATATATATACATATGTATACATAGATAGATTTATACGTATGTACGTATTTGTATCTGGCTCGGATCGTTGGCTGCTGAGTTCAGTTTTTGGCTTGGTTCGGTTCAACTTTGCTGCGTTGACAACTTGACTCAGTGGCCAAGGCATGCGGCTGGGGGCAGAGGCGTGGGCAGTCGCTGACAAATGCACAGGGGTGCGCAAAGGCAGGCAGATATATGTACATAGAGAGTGAGAGGGCGATGGAGCGTACGTGATGAAATAATTCAAAACAATTGTCTTTAAATCAGATTTGAATTGTGCCAACTTTGGAACAATTTGAAAATCCTCAGATCAATAAAGCCATAAATAAAGTTAGATTTGAATGCTTAAACTATTATTTATAAAAATTCATAACAAAAAAAAAGAGAAAATAGGAATTTTGGACCTCACATATATCATTTGAAAGTTGTCGGAGCGCTGGTACCTAAAAGACCTTAGATAAACCAACGAGAATCGCATAGTAGGGCGCTATACAAAGCATACAAATATACGCAAACATACACACACACACATATGTATATACAGTAAATACTATGATCAAACAATAAAGCTTTAAGACTTCAAATAAATTCATGCGAATTACTGAATAGAATAATACTTAAATACATTATAGAAATAATCACACAGACACGGACAAAAAACAAAAACGAACACACACACATGCACTCATATATGTATACATATATCTCATACATACGCACATATCTGTTATGAGATTTTATTGTTCCTATCGAATACACTAAAACCACACATTGGGCTAATCTCACATATTTATGCTGATCATTAAAAATATGTTACGAAATCGTGTGTCCGTATATACTAGTTATATTATTTAATCCAAGCCAAATTTCTGTTCCACCAGCGGCAACATTTTGTCAACGTAAATGAAAATATAAATAGCTTCCACAGTGAAAATCTTGTTTTTCATTTGAAATAAAAATAAAGAAACTACAAAAAAAGTCATAAAACACAAAAAAAAAAAAAAAAAAAAAAAAAAAAAAAAAAAAAAAAAAAAAAAAAAA